GCCGCTGCTCCTGGGCTGATTAGGGCAGAGGCACCGGGCAGTGACTTCTTCTTACCCAGCTCATATTTGACTTGGTCAGATGTGGGCAGGCATGTTCAGGGGATGCTCTGTCACCATGGCTGGAATTCAGTGGGCGGGAAGCAGACCTTAGGTCTGTACAAAGGTCCCAGGAATGATGGTGCATGGCAGAGGCTGAATAAGAAGAGGCTGCTCGGGCTGGAGAGATGGCTCAGAGGGGCTGGAGAGATGGCTCAGAGGGGCTGGAGAGATGGCTCAGAGGTTAAGAGCACCGACTGCTCTTCCAGAGGTCCTGAGTTCAATTCCCAGCAACCACATGGTGGCTCACAACCATCCATTATGAGATCTGGTGCTCTCTTCTGGTGTGCAGATGTACATGGAAGCAGAATGTTGTATACATAACAAATAAATAAAATCTTTAAAAAAAAAAAAAAAGAAGAAGAAGAGGCTGCTCATGCTCAAAGCCAAGGCTCTTTGAGGCTGAGGAGCTTGGCTCTGTCTGCAGTGTCTCCCTCTCTGGCATCTTGTCACCTGGCAGGACTGACATCCCTCTGTCTACTTTGCTGTCTTGGCAGAAATGCAGCAGGCAAAGATGGCAAGGAGCGCCTGGGTGGCTCGGTGCTGGAGCAGATCCCCTTCCTGCAGAACTGTGAGGATGAGGACAGCGATGAGGACGATGAAGTAGACAGTGTCCAGCACAAGAAGCAGCGTGTGAGGGTGAGTCTTCTGCGGCTGCCCTGGCCTCTGCCCCGGCTCCCCTGGCCCCAGATAAGAGACAATGCCCCATTCTGCCTTTCATTTCTGCTCCTGCAGGCCAGCTCAGTGTCCTGACCCACACAGGGCTGCTTCCTTTCAGCTCCCCCGCCCCCCACCCTAAGTTGAACGTTTTTAACCTGGGGCTCCTGCTTTCCGTCCCCATATCCTGAGAGGGGTGTGAAGCACAGGCTCTCAGCAAAGATTTGTGAATGGAGTAAATGTGCCTGGGCCCAGGCCTGCGTGAAGTCTAGGGAGTCAGTATGCTCTGGGGGGTTCCGGTCTGCTACTGTGGTCAGGACCCTTGCCTTTGGACACTGATCGTAAAGTAGCATCCTGACCTCACAGGCCTGCCCTCACATCTGGCTCCCGGCGCCCAGTGTGATCCTACCTCCATGGTCCTGCACTGGTTTCAGGGTTCTGTCCTTGGTTGTCATGTGCTCTTAGTTGCCCATTAAGCATTTGCTGAGCCCTTCACAGCCCGGCTCTGAGCAGGCCGTGGCATAAGACCACAAGTGAACAGTAGTGGCTTTGTAGATGGCCACCTGCAGGATGTCCCGAGGTGAGGGCAAAGCCACCAGCTGTGGGAAAGGCCTTGGCTTTTCCTGAACTCCACTTTCCCAGATGTGGCTTCTGTGACTCTCCCACTCGGTCCAGGCACCCCTTCTCTGTCTTGCCCTGGGTGTCTCCTGTGAGCTTCCAGAGCTCTTGGGTTCCCTTCTCTAGACCCTGACAGCCCCTTGAGGTGGCAGTGAGAGGGGCTTGGCTTCCACTCTGTCCCGAGGGTCCCTAGCATGACTTAGCACAGGGTCCTGTCCAGATGGAGCAAAATGACAGACCTGAAACCCTGGAGGAGGCAAAAGGCTAAAGGGTGTCTTGATGTGGGCACTTTAACTTGGCATCCTGGTTCCTCCCTACCCCCACCCCCACTTGGGACTGTCTTTCCTTTTGTATGTGTATGAGACGGCAAGAGAACACATGTATGCGTGGCTACTTCATGTGGAGGGGTCTACTTCCTTAAGAGCCGTCTGCCTTGTATTTTTTGGGTTTGTTTTCATTTTTGGTGTTTTATGTATTATTTGTGTATTAGTCAGAGTTCTCTGGAAGTACAGAACCAGTAGAATAAATCTGCAGCCAGCTAGCTAGATATATATATGGATGGATAGAAAGGAAGAAAGTAAGGAAGCTTACTAGAATGGCCTACAGGCTGTGGTCCAGCTTGTCTAACAGTGACTACCAACAGAAGATTCAAGAATCCAGTAGTACCAGGCAGTGGTGACACATGCCTTTAATCCCAGCACTCAGGAGGCAGAGGCAGATGGATCTCTGTGAGTTTGAGGCCAGTCTGGTCTCCAGAGTGAGTTCCAGGACAGCCAAGGCTACACAGAGAAACTTTGTTTCTAAAAAAAAAAAAAACAAGCAAACAGACAGACAAAAAGTCCAGTAGTTTCTCTGTCCACTAGGCTGGATGTCTCAGCTGGTCTTCAGTATATGCCAGAATCCCGAAGAAGCAGACTCCAATGCCAATGAAGGAATGGACTTGCTAGTGAGGGCCAGCAGGCAGAGAGCGAGTTTCTTCATGTCCTTGTTTGTTATAGGTGCCAGCAGGTGTGGCCTAGACTTAAAGGTCGATGTTTCCACCTCAGAAGATATGGATTCAAAGTGGATTTTCCCACTTCAGATGATTTAGTTAAGAAAATCCCTCACAGGTGTGCCCAGCTGCTTGGGTTTTAGTTAATTCCAGATATAGTCAGTTGACAACCAAGAATAATCATCACATTTTATTGTTTGTTTGTTTGTTTGTTTGTCTGACAACAGAGTTTTTCTATGTATTCCTGGCTGTCCCGGAGCTTGATATGTAGACCAAGATGGCTTGGAACTTACAGATATCCTCCTGCCTCTGCCTCCTGAGTACTGTGATTAAAAGCTTGCACCACCATGTCTGGCTTACCTTGTGTTACGGAGACAGGTCTCCTCCTGGGCCTGGTCTTGCTGATAAGCCTCCAGGCTGGCTGACTAGCAGACCTCAGAAATGCTATCTCCCTCTCGCCCACACTGCATCGCAAGGACACACTGCCAGACCTGCCTTTTTACCTGGTGCTGGGGATTGAACTCGGGGCCTGAGGCTTGATTGGCAGGCA